TACGTGTCACATAATTGATTTTTCTATTTGCAAATGTTTTTAACAATATGATCAATTATATGATTAAGAGATTTATCATTGTTTAGCCTAAAAAAGTGGTTTTCAACAGGTTTGCTGGATAGGTTTGTCAACTCTTCTTTCCCAATTCTTTGGGTAATTCCGATCGCAAACACTTCGATTCTTCTCTTTTTCAGAGCATCTGCTCCTATTTTTACAACTTCGGGTCCGATGAAACTGAATCCATCTGTGAGAATAACAGCAACTTTCCTTACATCTATAAAAAATAAAACAAGAATAAAAGCACGGCTAAAATAAAGTTTTTATTCCTAGCGAGTTTTCCTAGTGAAACCAAGTGAAACCAGGTGAAACCAGAACCACTGAATTTGATGTAAGCTTTTAGGAATTTGAATAGTACCATGGATAGGTAAAAAGCATATTTTGTCACCAATATGGATTTCAGCCATGGCTCAGGAGAGGATATAATATTTATTCGCGTATCTTTCCAAATCTTTACCCAAGGAAACGTGAAATCATGAAAAAAACGCAGAACCTTTTAAAAGTACCTTAGTTGTAGCGGCAATTTTTGTCACTTAATGTAAGTTTTAGAGTAAAAATGATAATATAGTCGAACCTGTATTAAGTGGCACCGTATAAAGCTGACAGTTTTCAAAGTCTTGACATATTTCCCCTCAGTTACTGTAATTTTCACCTCCATTAGCGGTCGTATGCACCCTTTACTGAGTCATGGAATCATTTCAGCAACCATTATAGTTATTTATTGAGAAGGCAATGATTTGCATATCAAGGGAATAATCAAATTATTTAAAAGCACGCCGAAAAGCTGAAGGTATATTCTAGTCGTGCCAGGAGCGGGGATGGTCCTCTTTTGCGAGTTTCCCGAATAAACCTTTCACATGATTTTTCTCTACACAAAAAGGCGCTTTTACGTTTAGTCTTATCTCGTCGACGATGAAAGCAACATTAACCAATTCCTTTTAAAATTGGCCAACGAGAATTTTAAAACCAATGAATTTTAAAACAAAGACAAAGAATAACTATTGATCTTAACGACGAAATAAACTAACCCTAAATTTATTTGAAATAAAAACAAAACGGCATCGTCGTGTCCTACGGAAAGACGAGTAAAACATTTTATTATGGGTGACTTACCAGACTCCTCGATTCTTGAGCCATGCTTTTGAACAAACAGTTGATTGTTTAATACACTTAGAGCCTTCCTTGTTTTTGTGGAAGATCCTTCAAAGAACATATTGTTCACTTTTTGCTCAAGCCCTTCTTCCTCCTGGTCGTCCTCGAACGTGGAATATATCTTCACCGACTCCGAGTACGCCACAAATGATACACGAACGTTGTCTCTGGAGATTCTGAATCGTCTTAGAAGTGTTTTGGCGAATTTCTTTGCAAGGCTTATGTTTTCATCATTAATACTCCCTGAAACGTCCAAAACGACCGCCAGGTCAATTTTTCGGTCGCATTTCTCTATTTTTCCTATTCAAAAGTAAAGACATAGTAATTTAACAAAAACAGCAATTAAACAGTAACCGACAATGTAGAAGTCATTTATCTTCGCGAGGCAAAGTATTATTTAGCAGATCACTTCCTTAATAAATTATACAACACTAAGTTTAATGTCCATGAAATATTATCGCTTCGGTGTGGAACCTGAAGATAAGGAAACTCCTCGTTGGCTATGCTGTATCCACAGCGCACTCGCGAACAGATTAATTCTTTATATTGACATATCTCAGCTTATTCAAAATCCGTGTGAGAAACAGTTACTTAAATAAAAAAAATTTCTTCTTCAGGGTTAGATTAAAATATTGCAATACGAAAAGTGTAAAGTATAGCTTGGCTATGCTGCAAAATTTCTTTTTTTCTTTTTTTTTTATCGACAATTACATCTAAATATTGCGTGATCCGGGAAGGTCACATTTCTTCTTATCCTTTCTTGATTTTAAACACTCTTCCATAAATCAATTATTGTGCTATCGTGGCTGTCAATTCTGTGCTTCAATAAGTTTTTTTTTTATTTTTACAGCGGGTAGTGTATTTTTAAACAAAGGATAACCAGTAAGTCGCAGAATCAGTGTGGACACCCACGCTAAATATCTGAACGACTCTTACTTCATACATCCTCTATAGGAGGTAATACGGTCACCAAAACTGACTAAAAACTTATATGATATTTTACCTGTTCTATTAAGCAATTTTACAATTCAGTTGTAGATGAAAAACAAGTTTAGGAACTCAAGATTGACGATATGTCTAATATTAGCATTACATAGTTGGTAAGGGTAGCAAAGTGTGGGGGATTACTGACAGCGACGAAAATTAAAAATTGCTTCCTTTCGTTATCCAGTTTTCACTACAAAAGGTATCGCTTGTGCGAGAAATATTTTTAATTTCTAGTTAAACTTATTTTATTTCTGTTCTTCAGTTTGTCTCACTCATAGCGCCCTAGCCTTTTTCTCAGTAGATTTATTGTTAGGTACAAATAAAAAGAAGAACTATGTCTTTGAGTCGAATTGGAAAGGGAGAAGTATTCTAAATCTCAATTGTTCACCTTTGCTTATCACTTACAATATATTGTAGCCATCGCTTACCTTGGGCACAGTGAGTCACAAGAACAAAGATGACAAAGAAGAAAAGATGCATCTTCATTTCCACTGTCGACAGTTGGTTGACTTGTAACTGATCTCTGCGTATCAGTAAATAGAATTTAGCACCTGATTAAATTTTAATAGCTCCCAAGATGTTACTCTCGGGTTCAAACCATTGGATATCTATAAGATTTTTCCGACAGAAAAAAAATTCCCTACACAACTATCCTATCAATTAACTCAGATAAGGTTGTGGTTATTCATCGTGGTGAATAACAATAAAAGCTAAGTTTTTCGTTTGTCTCACGATGTAGTCACGTGTGATGTAGAACGCCGCGTTTCGACTGCATACTGCTAGTCTTCAAGCGATGAGGTCGACTGGTCATGCGTGATTTTATAAAGCATGATGCTCTGCTGTGATTAGTTGTTTTTCAATAGCTCTGATTGGTGCATTTCGATCCTTGCTGTTACACTCAGTGATTTGCTCCCTCGGGGGTCCGCTGTCGCACGGTTCACCCACACAAAACCCATAATTCCTCCAATGGTTCTGACGAAGGGCTAACGCTCGAAACGTCAGCTTTTTTTATCCTTAACGGTGGCTAATTTACGTTTTCAACTCAGTTGTTAGCACTAAATTACCTGCTATACTCTCCCACCGACGCAGTACCACAGTTCCTTTAGAAACTTACCCCCTTTATTCTCCTGTTGTTGTGTTTTTTGATCGTGGGCATCCACGCTTCTGGAATTTCTATTCCACTATCCCTGTTGATGTTGTCAGGGTGAAGTCTTATATGAATTGCCTCTTTGACCCTGCCCTTGTAGCAATAAGGGTCACGATCAATAAACTTTACTTCGTTCCAGAGTAGCTTGTGTCCGGTGTTGTGGGCATGCTCTTAAACGGCGTAGGTCTCGGCATCCTGTTTAACCGGGTCGACAGCGTCTTTTGGTCGTATTAGCTGAGATCTTAGCATAGTCTCCGACTTGAAAATAACGCGTACGCCTTGTTGTTGTAGGCAACGGCGAAGCTGTTCGGACAGACCTTTGACATAAGGTAAAACCGCAGTACCTTTGAACTCGTTGGCGGGTTCGGCACTGCTGTTTGGTTTTCCGGTCATGGTAATTTTCTGCAAGAAAGAAAAAGGATAACCTAGAACAGAAGACAGATGCTTTTTGTCCTTGGAGATAACAGAGGGTTTTGTTACGAGACGTTTGGCGCGCTCGTAAAGGGACTTAACAATACCGCGTTTTACTGATTGAGGGTGGTGTGGATCATACGCTAGGTATTGATCGGTGTGTGTGTGTGGGCTTCCTGTATACGCTGATGGTGAGGCAGCCGTCAGGTTCTCTTGAAACTGCGGTTTCTAGGAAGGCGAATTTTTTGTCTTTCTCTGTCTCCATGGTGAAGCGGATGGAAGGCTGCTGGTTGTTAAGATGCTATAAGAAGTCATCCACGTTTTCGTGATCCAGGATGGTAAAGGTATCGTCCACGCAGCGTTTCCAGATCTTAGGCTCGTCGGATGATGCTGTTATCGCCTGTAATACAGTTTCTTACTTACCCCCTTTATTCAAATAAGTTGACTTCACTTTGCAAGGTAACTATCACAAGGGAGCTGTGCCCGCTATTGCCACTGCGGATTATGTTGTGCATCACGCCATGGTCACGTGTGCTTGCGTGTGAGTAAAACAAGTCGGCTCTCTCAATGACCACGCAAGAGACCAACATTTCCTACATTTATAGTAATCCGTGTGCCTATGAAAGGGCTATTTATCCTTACATGTTACGAGTCAAATTGGCTCAATCATGACTTTTTTCGCTTCAAAACCGAAAAAAGGAAAACGTAGTGGACGATATGTTTCCATGAAACACTTCAGAAAATGAAAGAATAGTGTTTTAGTATCATTGGAGGTGTTAGGTGTGCTAGAAGGAGATGAGATGACTAATTTAAAAATCTAAAATACTTAGAAAACGCGTCGTGACCCCAATTTTTTAAGGGCTTAAAGTTAAAAAACTGTTCAGCCAATAGCTCGGTTGTGCAAATGAGAGTGACCAGGGTTAAAAATGGCCTTAATCCAATTATTTTAACAGTAGTAAATTACATTAAGTTGTACTGAGTATCGTATTTGGTTTTTATTGTCCAAGAAATGAATATTTGGCCGAGAAGCGAAACTTTGAGGGAAAGGAAAGGAAATTATCAATGGACATGCCAGCCGCCTGATGGGCTTCATTTTTTTTATGACCCTTCCAGTAATTTTCGTATTACGCTTTGAGAGCAATTTTTTTTCACTCTTTTGTACTTTTCGGCGCATTATTTGACACCAGCTTTTTAATTTGACTATCACCACCACCATCACTATCACTATCACTTAAAAGAGATTTCGTTTTTCTTTCATGTAAAGTAATAAAAAAGGAAAAGTAAAACTCTTGGGCTAGCATTTTTTCAGCTGCCTTTGTTTCCTTTCGACGGAAATAATCGGAGGACAAATGTAACCCTCCACGGTGTTTCAGGGAATAAGGTGAACGCGCTCATACTGCACGTTATAACTTGCTCGCACGCTAATGACATGACACACTTATTTAGTTTTGGTAGCCATTGTTCATATCATAACTAACACGGTAGAGCTTTGTTTTTATGTCACGCTAGATTTTTTTCTTTCTTTTTTTTAAGACGCTAAGTTCCTTTGTTTCCTTAACACGCTAGCTGATCTTGTACAACCCAGCTAACTTTGTTCACTGTAAATCATGGCTCTTTCCCTCAGGATTTTCACAAGGAATTCATTGAGCACGACGTGTTTCACAAGGTCCATAGGAGCTCAGTTTGAACACCTGAATTACTTTTTTAAAACTTAATTCTTACCTTGTAAAATACATATATGTTATTTGCCGTTTGTAGAGTGCTACCCACCAGTTTAGTTTTAAAGATTTTTTTTTTTAAATTTGGTGCGATAGCTGTGGTCAGTTTTTTCATGCAGGCTGTCTGGATGTACCTTTCGCAGAGACGTGGGGGGGACAGAGACACCAACACAACATTTCACCTGCCGTTCGCTTCGAAAATTAAGTTTTTATCCCGAGTTCATTTGTTAAATAAAATAGGAAAAAAAACACTTCGAACGGAAAACAGAATTATTTTAACGCCTAGTTCTTCTGAAAAAAGCTCTCCTAAACGAGTGGCCCTGATTATAAATATTTAAGCATGGTAAACACATTAGCCTTAACTTGGCTGTTTCTCGAAGCTCAGTGTTTTACTACATGCCTTTTTCACGTGAAATGAGGCCATTGATTATATATATATAAAATAATAAACACTTAAAGAACTACAGCTGATGGAAATTTAAAATTTCTTATCTAAAGGCTGTAGAAACAAACTTATTAATGACTCTAAAAATATAGAAATCTACAACGAAATTTTTTTAGAGTTGGTTAGCTTTTCATTTTTCCGTAATCGAAAGTAGAGATTGCAAAATTCAAGTGAAAAGCAAACCGACTGTGATTTACGCCTTAAACAAGTCAAGATACTTTTTTCCGTCATACAACAAGTTACATATCGTGAATATCATTCTTCTTGATGCCTTTCCCGGTGTCACTGATGCCTTTCCAGATGCCTCCGTTGGTTAATATAGCAATAAAAATATTGTTCCAGTCAAAGCGTTTGGAAAATTGCTTAACTTTTGAATAAGCGAAGTATAACCTGGTGACATTTTGGCTTTACAATAGATTGTTTTTTGCAAGTTATAAAACGTAAATATAATTCTCCTTGGTGCCTTTTTGAATGCCACCGATTCCTTTCCCGATACCTCCATTGTTTAATACAGCAGTAAAATATATATGTGCTATCTACACTTTTGAAAAATTGCTTCACATTTTATTTAGCGAAGTATACTGTTAACATTTTGGCTTTACAACACTATTTTTTTCTGCAACTACAACTGATATGTCTCCATATGAAGTATTAAATTTGTTTCTCCGCTGACCACTCCTATTTCGGTCATTTCTTCATCCCCGCTCGTCGCCCGTGATGTAGTAATTCCCGAACTCTTCGATCGCCATTTTGTAAAAACATAATAACCTAGCCTGTTATGGACAATACCGCTACAGGGCAGCTACTGAAGGCTCAAAGATTGACATAGATTGCAGCATTGGCCCGAAAATAATATGACTTGAAAAACAAAATAGTAAGCTTTTTACTTGGACAAGATTTTAACAGCTTCTCAAGCAATATCTCGGAAAGAAAATAGTAAAGAAGTTATCAGCGCTGCAAAATGTCTGATACACCTCCATTTGATTAATTTTTAAAATGGAAGTTGGGGATTGAAAGTCCCTCTTTAGCCTATGCTGCCAAGACAGTGACAAGGAATATCATCTTAGCTGTGGACGTACCCTACCCTTTGCTGAAATTGTGGCATGATTTTATCAAGACACAGAAAAATGATAGAAATCCCACCTATGGCAATGGAGAACCATCTTGTTCAACCCCATCAAATTTGCACATGCATGAGTCAAACATGAAATTATCTTATACTTATGTTGATCTGTTTGATTACTCTGTTCCGGGAAATGCATTTGCAATTAGCAGTGATGAAAAAATTAGACTAGAAGTTAATGAATCTTTAAGAAAAATTTGTGGAAAAGTACAGAGTAAATATGCAAAGGCCAAAGGGACAAGGAGGAAAGAGGAACTCAACTCAAAAAAGAAGATGTTTGATTTTAGTGGGATGCGCAGACGCAGTAAGGTGAAACGCAGCTCGTGTTGCGTCCGCGACATCAGCCGCTGACTGACCTCGATTTCTAGCCATGAGTCGTCTCGAGACGACTTTAACGTCTTAGACAACTTTAACGTCTCTAGCATAAAAACGGCCAATTATTACGAAGTGAAGGAGAGGGAATCTGCAAACTTTACATTTTGAAAACCTGGGACAAGATAATTCAAAGGCTCTGAGCGATGCTTGAGTCTGAAATGTGGTTACAAAAACAGGTTACGAAATTCTCTAAACAGTGCAGTAGTTTCTGTATTTCACAAATTGCACTGAGTTATGGAAAAGCAGGAAAATAAAACCTTAATCAGA